GGCTTTGGACAAAAAGTCTGCGGATTTGATCTCTTGAGATGCGGAAATGGTTCAAAGAGTTTGGTCATAGATGTTAACGGATGGAGTTTTGTGAAGGGAAACGAGTCCTATTTCGGTACGCTATCGATTAAGGCTTATCGAAAACTGAATACTGACTTGTTTTTGTTTATTAGACAGGACAGCCGATATTCTCCTCGCCATCTGCAAACGACTTATGGCCTCTCCCCTTCGAGCGTCCACCATATCGGAACAAGCAAATCCTCCTGAAGCTCCATCATGGAAGCTTAAGGCGAACGTTACTGTCTTACGACATGCTGATCGGACGCCAAAGCAGAAGTTAAAGTACAACTTCCCTATCACCGAGCCGTGGGTGCAGCCATTTGTGCGGCTACTCAACGGAGAAAAGGAGGAGGTCATATTACGAGAGAAGGAACAGCTTCAGACTATCGCTACTGCGATCGAGGAGGCTAGATCTTTAGGCGCCGTTGGCGAGGATCTTGGTAAACTATCGGCACTAAATAATGCTCTATTTAGAAAGATCGATCTCCCTGGCACTAAGGCTCAATTGAAACCAGGGTATAAGAAGGATCGTGGTGCAGGCACCAAAAAGCTGGAAAAGCTGGTCCTAGTTCTAAAATGGGGTGGCGAGGTTGGTCGACTGCCTTTTAAACCCGTGATTTGTGCGCTGACGTTATGCTCTAGTTCACCCACGCCGCTCTTTACCAATCTAGGGATCTAGGGGAAAACATGAGAAGAGATATATCTATTATGAGTACGTTGCTCAAGCGCCTGGTGAAGCGCCAGCAACATTTACTCATATAACTTAAGACAAGGACTGTTTGAACAATGTCAGAATATATACTTCTTCCGAACGACGTGTGACGGCTTCAGCGGAGATCTTTGCCGCAGCTCTCTTGACGCCATCCAGTACCCAGCATGCAAGCTCTGTCGCTGCTCAGAACCAGCAGCCAGTGATGATATCCAGTCCGATCAACATTGCTCCGTCAACCTCTGCGTCATCGTCTAGGGAATCAGGGATCCTTGGCTCTCTGACGTCCTTTGCCAACTCAGTGGTTCACGGATTACCAGGTTCGCACGTTTCAACACACAGTGGGTCGATTTCCGTCGATAACCGTTCAGCCTCGCCAACGACAGCGACATTCTCTACCTCTGTTCAGACAGAGGAGCCGACCCCACCCGTATCTCGAACTTCCACTCCACTATCTGTACCAGGAAAGGACACGGAGAAGAAATCGACTGCATTGGAGCTCATAATTCGAAAGGACTTGCTCGATGACTCGAACGCTGCCAAAGACCTAATGGATGAGGTCAAGAAGCGCTTGAAGATCCTATTGCGGCCGGGCGAACCGGAAAGGAGACCCCAACTCACCTGGCCGAAGAATCTCAAGAAAGAACCGGTTGAGGTTGTGGCGGTTTGTATCTCACTTGAGTTGATAGAATTCAGCACTGACCCTCAAAGTAGGAAGTCATCGAGCTCTTGTCTGGGTTTAGAGAAGTGATGAGACATAGCTACGAGACTATGGACACGGACAAAATTCAGCAAAGGTGGTGCTGCGGAGATGAGCCTTGGCTCTTCAGGGAACGCTGGGAAAAGTTGTTCGAAGACTTTTGTGACGTAAAGCAGGAAAAGTTTGACCCTTCAAGAGTAAGTCGCCTTGCTTCCTTTACGTTATTCACAGCCCTAACGGCCTTCAAGATATCCGAGCTGTACGATACTCTAAAGTATTGCGCGTTACATCATCGAGGTTTCCTTTTTACCGTGTTCGGAGAGAAGCAAGAGTTCGAACCTGCTGACAAAGACAGTCCACCTCGACAGAGAAAGTTGCATGAGCTGTATTCGCGAGCAAAGGCGTTGTTCGACCTTGTCGCACCGCAGGAGTATGGTATAGAGCCCTGGGAAAAGTATGTGCTCATGACTATCTGATGTAACACCCAGTAGTGACCTTTAACAGGGAGGAAATCGGTGTGCTCACATCCCTTCCCCTCTTGCGCAAGATTGTGGAAGATTTGGAAGCCGCTCGAAACAGCGGCGACTGTTCACTGAACCTTTATTTTACTAAGGAATCTCATATCCATACACTTCTCAATCTTATACTTTCATCTGGACTACCAATCGCAAATCCCAAGATCCCGGAACTGGACTATTGCGTACGTCACAATCCCATCTGCGTCTGACATGTACTGACAAACGTATAGTCTCACGTTACGTAGGTATTCACCATGGGAATATGAGAATATGTCTTGACATTGGTCATAGCTTTGAGCTTTATGAGCGTGGAATTGGGTCTAGCAAGTCAGACAAGGAGTTCGCCATCCGACTCAGTCTCTCGGAAGGCGCACATTCGTCGAACGTGCTAGATTCTGCAATCGACGCCAGGCACGCGTTGAACGTGCAAAACCGAAAGTGAGTACTTCAACTTTGTTCCTAAATTCGAGTAACAATTTCTTTTAGACGTTTGACGAGCCACTTGGCTTATAGCTTGGTGATTGAGAAGCTATCAAAGCACTTCAGTAGAGTGCCTGAGGCAAGTCAAAAACTTCAATGCAAGTAGGAAGTTGCTCAATGGGCAGCAGGAATACATCACGGAGCCCGAAACACCTGTACGCCCTCGCCCATCCAGAATCTCATTTTTCACGCCAACGGACGTCAGTAGTAGTGAAGCAGAAAGATGAGTGAGCATATCAAGGAGTAATGACAAGGAAACTATGGACGATCAGCTATAGGATATGAGGCGGATAACGTTTTTGGTGTTTATTGCGGAATCGCACATATGCTTCTCTCATGTAATCAGATTTCTAGACCCATAAGCAAATATGCAGAATTCGTCTTGAACCAGGGACGAGTCACCAGCTGACCTCCAACGTACATGAGGGAGTGAATGAGATCATCCAGGCCTTCTGCGCTGCGGGGCAATGCAAAAATCACCGAGGAGCATTCTAATTGTTCATCTGCCACATCAAGAAGCGCAACGACACTGTAAAGAGTTTAGAAATGCTATACTTTCCCGTTATGCAGACTATACCTTTCTCTGAGGTCGGCAAGCCGCACAGCTTGGCCGTCAACATAAAGTGTCTTTGGGCGATTGGGAAGATCCAAAACAAATGCGTCCCAGGTAGTGCTATTGGATACAATTTGTAAGGGAGCACAGAACTTTGTAATCGTGTTGGTATTCTCTATAAAAAGGTTCTCGGCCAAGACTGAATGTTTCTTCGGGTGTGGAATTGCAATGGTATTTTCTGGCGTGAGCGGAGGAGTGGCCAGTTGATTATTGCTGGATTGACGAGGCTTGACGAAATGTATTGGCGCGGATGGGGGTGTAGAAGGCGAAGGGTAGGGGCTGATTTCAGCTGTGTTCACTTTCATTGCGGGATTTTTGGAATAAACCGACGATGGGATACCTGTCACGTATCCCATCGACCCTACAGGAGGGCATTTATCCACGGGGGTGTCAAAAACGCCACTAAAAAGAAGGTAAAGGTATGAGGTTTGATGTTGAGAAATAATCGGAGATGACAATACTAACCCCAGGACCGCCAGAGAACGAAGTGGAATAGTAGTGGACATTAGAGTTGGGACCCTGTGTCTTGGTAAAAGCGACGGCGTCGCTGGAGGTGGCGAAAGCTTGTGCCCCATCCCCAACGGTCTGCCTATGACCGTTGCTATAGATAGGAGGTATATCAGCAACTCGTTTGGAAGACGTATAAAAACGTGCAAGTGGCATGATGGGCGGAAAACGAGAAACATACGCGGGGCTGAGACTAGATTGCTGATTTGACATCGTAAAATGATTTGACATTGGAATTATAAGCCAACTTTGATCTCTGAGGTGGTTGTCTGTGAAGGTTCTGGCTGCGATCGGTTTTTGGGCGAGAGATGGGCCAAGGTGAGAATTGGGTAACAAAGCAAGGGCTATCCTCTCATGCGACGTTGACTCAGGTCCACCGCTTAAAGGTGACAAGTTATGCGAATAATGGAAAAAGTGTTTCTTATTTTTAACAAGGAGAAAACAATTTAAAACAAAACCTATCGGGGGTTGGGGAGACCAGATCCACTCGCACCAATCTCTGTGAGCTGACTCAATGGGTCCAGTTGACCCTTGAATTGAGGTTGGAAAGCAGCACCAGTAAAGGGACATCGCACGCTGGGAGAGCCCTTATATATCGGCGTTAACGATGCTGCACACACTTCAAAGTCAGTGTACTCGTCGTAGTCGAAGTCAACGGCATCTCTAGGGTTCCTATCGCCTGTGGCGATCACCTCTTTAGCCTACCAGAAAAGGTTAACACTCGTGAATAACTCTTGATGATCCATACTTACTTTGGTAAGAGTAGCCTTATCTGGATTTAGCTCGACTAATCTTCGGGCAAAACGAGCAGCTGTGGCGTAGTTTTTGGCTTTCGTGGCGCCCTGTATTCCTCTCCGTAAAGCTAGAATGGCGTGCTGTGGTAACAGTTTGCAATGTGTAAAATAGGCAGCCAATTCCAAGCTTCGTTTTTGGTCCTCTGCGGGAAGGTCCCTTCTCGTATCCTCCAATATCATTGCGAGTAGATATTCCCGAGTGCTGGTAACAAGTTCCCGTAGCTATGGAGAGATGAGCATGCTTCATAAAAAGGCAGGTCAATGCAAACCTTCGAGGCCTCTTCCTGGTCGTTTGCTACAGTCAAGAGCAACACTTGCAATAACGCTCGGAAAGCTTCTATTGCCTCTGGTAATTTATAGGCTGAAACAAACTTGCAGGCAGCCTGGAATTCTTGTGTAGCCGCCTTGAGGGAACGGGCAACTGGTAATACCCTTGTGGGAGAAGAGATTTCGGGGTTGCGACGAAGATGTAACTGCATTGGCGGCAGTGCGGCATTTGGCGAGAAATAGACATGAGCAGCGCGATAACCAGCCAAAAAGAGTGGTTTGAGGGGTTCGAAGTTGACCACTCCGGACTGACGGTGGAGCAACTAAAGATTCGTGAGTAGGAAAATCAAGAGACACATATATGATACAAACCTGCATTGCAGTTTCGAACGAGCCGGCCGCAATATGATCGGCCGCGAAAGGAGAGTTCTTGACCCATAGCTCTAGCTCACTGACGCCTTCGACAGCACTGGCACCTTCCTCTTCCTCCTCTGGTGCAGTGGCCTCTTCTTCTCCCTCATCTAAGCCCCAGTCGCCTTCCTCTTCCTCGGCCTCTTCTTCGTCTTCTTCGCCTGGCGCACGATCATCATTGACCATGTCATCGAGGCCATTGACATACGATCCTTCCGGTGCAGCAGGAAGGTGGCCGTTGACCAAAGCCTTTTCGAAGAAGTTCTCAGTGGTGGCAATTTGAGGCCAAGTCAACGATGTAGTGGGAGTGATGACAGGTGGAGGTTTTAACGTAGATGACGAGATAGCTGGAAGATCTTCCAAATCGGCCTCTGTTTTCCCTGCCTTTCTCAAGATTTCTTCAGCGAGGGCATCGAGTCCGTTACTCTTAGCGGTAAGATAAGCAAGGGGTACTGTGAGTTTGTCAATACCTCATTATACAAATCAGACTTGTCACCTACACATTTCAACGTCTCTTAATACCGCAATTCGCGCCTCAATATCCCCTGCATACAGCGCGTTGTGGAAGCGCGACATTGGGTCTTTTCTTGATTGCGCAATCTTTTGCATCTTGGCTAGTTTATCTGTACTACCAGTGGCGAGGTATAAGAAGGAGAGCTTGTCGAAGTTTCTCGTCCTTTGGTAAGCAATTTCCACAATCTAAAGTACTTGTTAGCATGTGAGTCTACCTCGTCGAAATGATTTACCTTGTGATTTCCTTGAGCCAAGGCTTGAGATGCAAGGCGGCTCCAGAGATCAGGTTTATCCATCGCCCTTGCGGTCTCCAAGGCCACATCAAGATTTCCACACTCTAAAGCCAATTCAAATCGAGTGTTCTTGTCTTGGACGAAATGAAGGGCGATCTATAGGGAGTTCCTCGTCAAGCCTGTCCAAGGTTTGCGAAATATGAACCTACTTCTGGGAACCCTTTCTTTTGAAGGTAGGAGATGATGCTCTGTCCAACAAGATTTGAAGTTTGTATAATTCTCAAAACTTCTTCGTAATTGTTCTTGATTAAAGCAAGCTTGAACTTGTACTCGGTCGGGTCCATGTCAATTACACGAGGTTTAGCAGAACGATCTAAGCAATGGATCTTCTTTCCTTTTATCCTCGTAAGATATACGGGTTGTTCTAATGTGCGAATGATGCCATTGTCTCTGTCGAATGAATTAGACGTGTCCCCGAAAACACAGTAAAGTAACATACCCCAGAGGCAAAGCATATTTAATATGGTTTAGTGTAGAATAGACGAAGACCCCTATATCATCCCAAGCTCCTGACTTGATTCTGATGGTTTCGTGGATGAGGCTGCTCTGCGCCAACGTTTTGCTCGCCAAAGTAATGGCTACACCCAATCAGCACCCTAGAGTATGATTATAACTAGACTCACTATGTTTACTGAGCAGAGCTACCGTGCTATTGTCAGTGTTCCAGATGGCATATTTCACCGGCGGTGAGTTGATTTCTGCAAGAGTCTTTTGTTGTTGAATATCGTAGAGAATGACAGAAGTAGGAGTGCTTAGAAGGAGAGATGCTGTTCCCCCGTAGAATATATCGTTTGTTACCGCTGGCGGTTTGATGGCTTTGGTGATTGCGTTGCTGAGATCACGGATTTCGATTGTCTACAAGTCTTGTTCAATAAACAACCTCCTTCAGAAATTCTTTCACAAACCTGGTTTGCCTTGTCCAAGACGGCAAATCGATTTCTGGCTACAAAGACCACACCAGTTCCCGGCCCTTTCTTGCCATCGGTGCTCGAGTCTTTCACCTCTGCCCCACTTGTATCCCTGGGAAGACTGGCAAGTTCAAACATGCCACCATCTGAGCTCGTAGTGACCAATACGCTCCTTTCAGCGGGGTTATATGCCAGAGTCTTGGGCTGAACATATGCAGAGCCCAACTTGCGTACAGAGAGGAGGCCGTTGTCGGTTTGGCTGTTGAAATCGTGCTGGCGCACATACTTATCTCTAATGTAATAGAGTTGATCTTGGAAGACTGCAAAGGCTGGTCGTTCACGCTCAAGTTTGAAAACAATGAGCCCGTTGTCGTGACCTTTCGGGGTACATAAGTTTCTGCTGATATGGGTCTGGAAAGCACTTACCAGCTGCGAAAAGGTTCAACTCGGGATGTGCGACCAGAACCCAGAATCTGTCGTGTTCTCTCCTAAATGTTTGGATCGCAGTACGCTTTCCCATGTCCCACACTCGAATTGTCTTGTCTTCTCCGGCGCTGACAATCAATTCGTGCTTGGGGTGGAATAAAACGCTGGATACATTGTTGAAATGACCTCTGCATGTGTCGACTTCCCATGCCTTGTTGTCGCTCATCCTCCATAGCTTGATTTGTCTGTCATCACCACCAGAGACGATCAGGGGTAGCGTTGGATGGAAGGAGGCAAAATTGACACCCCGATCATGACCTTCGAGAACATATTTGACTGTAGAGAAAGAGTCGAATGCATCAAAGTTTCCCACAGTTCCCGGTGGTCCTCCAGGGCCACCCATACCGGCGTTGTTGCGGGAAGGCGACTTGCGAAGTGAAGAGATATCCCAGACACGGACAGTCTGATCCATAGAAGCGGAAACGACCAAGTCTTCTTTCGGGTGGAAGAAAGCTGACATGATATAATGCGAGTGGCCTGTCAGGATGGCGATACAATTTCGAGAGGTGCTATTCCAGATACGGATGGTCTGATCATCGGATGAAGAGATCTATAGTCTATATGTCAAGTAGTGAACATTCATTCTTGTCATGAAAAAACGCACGATCCAAGGCATTTCATGATGAAATTGGACTGTTCGCACATAGTCCAAATGGCCGTTTAGAGTAAACAAACATTTTCTGCCTTGAGGTCTGATATCTATTGCACGAATTTGAATAATCCGGATACGATAGAGAGGCCCGCGAACGTACCCCAGACTTTAATTTTATAATCATCGCCACCCGTT